CGGGAGGAAGTTGATAAAAAAAGAATCAATCAAATCTATCGGCGAGTTGATGCAACTTTGCCATACCATTTTCCACAAGATACCCATTGAAATACTACAGGTTTCAACAGAGACATGGACCGGTATAATATTAGTAATAGATAATGTGTTTTCGATTCAATATTCAGCAAAGGAGCAGTGGTCAGTCACACACTGCTACGGAAAACTAATAACAAAACAAGTTGAGTAATGATCACGGAAACCGAAAAGAAGTAGTAAGAGACAACGCGAAAACAACCCAAACTCCTCGAACGCCATCGCCCAAAACAGCCTCCCCCAGTAAAATACAAACCATTTTTTCATCGAGTAATTCACGTCCTCAGGAAATCAGTACAGTTTTTCACCATGCATCGTTATACCTGAGTACAATTCCGATTGATATCAAAATTTCACTCACAATTCAGACCGGAGCTGGAAGAGGCACGTCAGGAGCTCATTGTAACCACAGCCAACAATCGTCGCATGTTGAAGGAAACAGAAGATCGTATTCTGGTCACATTGTCCGAATCCGAAGGGAATATCCTGGAAAATGAATCGGCCATTGAGATTCTAGATTCTTCGAAACAGATATCTGATGAAATTCAGAAAAAACAAAAGGTACGATTTCATCGCTAAGTTCGTCGTGAGTTTTCCCCAATTTGATGGTAAAGCGTTAAATCAATTCTAATGCAATCTAATTTGTTTGTCTTATCAAACAGGTGGCCGAGGAAACACAGAAAAAAATTGACAGTACTCGGATGGATTATGCGCCAATCGCAAAACACTCTGCAGTTTTGTTCTTCTCCATCACAGATTTACCCAACATCGATCCGATGTATCAATATTCTTTGACATGGTTTGTGAATCTCTATATAAACTCCATACACGATAGGTGAGTCAGAATGAGACACATTTGACACGGTGGTGTGTGTTTGCGACAATGGTGGTAATTTGTTTCAACACAAGCGAATAACAAACAGTGTTGGGTATTCTCCTAGACTAATCAAATATGTTAGATCTTCATAGCGACAAACCTTTAGATCATCCGCAAGAAATTGAAACAAACTGTCAGAGACAAATGATTCCAGATTGTTAGAATCTGAGATCGAGATGCACCTCCGAATGTTTGTGATTTACCGCGAATTCAGTGATCTAATAAGGGATGAAAGAAAATGTAACCGAGACTGTTCTCCGTATCACATCGATTTGATATTTGTAGACCGGGTTGTGCGTAACTCACGGCCTGTTTGAGGTAACTTTCCCGTACATAGAACCGTTTATTTTTTCTTAACATGTATCATGTATCTTCATTATTAATATTAATCTGGAATCATAAAATAAAAGATTTAGGAATATTTATTCCATCAAGACACCACTCTTTTATCGTGCCCATTTTTTCGCTTTCCTGCTGTCGTTGCCTGTTCTGATCCCCCACTCCCGACATCCCCGTCTAGCAAAGCGTTGACTTCAGCTAAGAACTAAAATCTGGGTCAGTCGCTCTCACATTTTCGGCTTTATTTTATCCCGGTTTTCGCATCGCAGTTCAGGGCCACATTTGGATCCCACTGATCGTTCAATACAAACAACCTACCGTCAATTAGAGGGGGGTTATATGAAGAGATGTGGTCAGTTAGCCAAACCTGACATCTTAGGATAAGGCAATTGAAGGCCCCAGGCTACGATCGAACACAGTGAAATACTCTTGCCATTAGTAAAGTTCATACCAGTGCACTAGCATTATGGCTTGAGTATGGATCGTAGCATCTGGGTATAACTCCTCCAACTGGTGTATCATTCTCGTTCACATAACAGTATTTGTAAAAGGTCTTATTAAAAGCGGGCGCAATGGGAGCAAATAGGATACCTTCGATCAGAAATAATTTGAAACACTGCATACAAACTTGCACATTAGGATTGAAATGATAGGGAGTTGTTTTTTGTTTATTAGAAAATATATGAGTCAAAAAGGATAGGAGATTTGTTTACATGCCCAAAGAACAGAGAATTACTGGGGTTCCAAGTGCAGAAAGGGGGAAGCACTGTGCTATACATGTCATTTGAGGAGAAGCTTTTTGAAGAATTTAATCCTAAAGTGTAAGTGCCAATCTCGGAGCGAAATAACTAAACCATTTGAAGAATTTTTTGCAAACGGAACTGACGATCATGATCATCATCCAGGGTTTATAGGTACCATGTTTGTGAAAGATATGCAACTCACTGTTGCTGCGAATCTGCGTGATTTTAAGAAAACGATTCTGCGGTTGATTTATCGAATCATTCGGCACAGTAGAATAGAGTAAAATATTCTTGGAGAACTGACAGATCGCAGCACACATTACAGTAGGATCAAGCTAACCAATCGAAAATTGCCGACTTGATGAATCGCATGTCGTCACAAGAAGTTTGCCTCATATTTTTTGTTGAACAGTTCATAATGATGGCATTTTATTGGCACTCCTGTGCAAAGGCGAATGCGTCCTGATCGACGCTTCCCAAAAACCCGAAACAGATAGTATACATGAACTTTGCCATAGAGTTAATTTAATTAATTTCATTCAGTAAGATTTAAAGTAGTTGAAAAGTATCTAAATAAGACACCATTTTCAGTTCTTATTGCATTTCTTTCCAATTTCATGTCATTCTCTTCGTTTAGTAATAAATCGAAAATACTTGATCGTCGGATTCGGTACTTGAAAGACCACTTCGAATACAACCTTTACGTAAATGTTTGTCGATCATTATTCGAAAAGGATCGACTACTGTTCTCCATGTTGATGTGTGTACGTATTATGGAGTGAGTACTTTGTCCCGGATCTATACACACATCTTCCCACACGCCCACCAGCTAACCTGCTCATTCCGCATAGTCCGCTTCTCGCTTGGTGTTGGCCGCTATCGCGTTGTGTGTGTGTATATGGAGTTGATTCTGAAACATCCATGCACTTAATCAGCTGTATTCCATATTTTGCACTCACATCCGAGTTCTCGCTTCTACACACTCTAACCCCTAACCTCTTTAAATGGCAGTAATAAGTCGAAGATTATGGAGAAACGTATTCGCTATTTGATCGATCACTTCACATACAGTCTGTACGTGAATGTGTGTCGTTCGTTGTTCGAAACACACAAGTTGCTATTTTCGCTTATCCTGTGCGCGAAACTGTTAATGTAAGCGAACCGGTATGCGTTTTGTTCGCTCTTCTTCGCTTAGTGTTGTTTTTTTCTTCTCGTTCTAGCTCCATGTTTTTGAATTCAGTTGCGTTCATCTGTTTCTTCTTCATTTTTTAAACCCCTTTTACCTTTGTGTTTGCCCAGTTGGGAGAAATTATTTCATTTTTGCCATCGTTAACATTTTCTGAACTTCGAAACACACGGTTGAATCAGGTACAACGTTTAATCTCTCTCTGTGATAGGACGGGTCATTTTGTGTTCTGATAAGTCTATTATTGGTTAGTTCACTGCGCCACTGAGGTGTCAAATTAACAGTATCACTTAGAGTGTTCTTATTGCCTGTGCTCATCAAACAGTAATCTAATTGAATAGAATAATTACAGTATAGCTTTCTTAATGGTAAGCCACAATTAAAAATCATTACAATAACAATAATTCGAGCTATTTTCGAAATCCGCTTTCCAACACTTGTGTCATCACAACGAATTAGCTGACGAATGTATCACTAATGGTGGTATCTCCTCTAATGACCTCTAATAATATAGTCCTCTGACAAGGCAATTAATTATAAGGATGTGACCAAACTGTACCCTTTCTGATGAATTGTGTGAAAACCTAATTTTCAATTTGTCCAAATGGTTCGGCAATTTTCACTGCCTTGGCAAAGTGTACTGAAAAGAAATCAGTTGGTTAGAAAAAAAGAACAGTCCATCCCACATCTCTATGTTTAGTCGCCTAAGACGAGAAACTGGCAAGTTTATGGCAGATTTATGTCCGTGTATTATTTTCCCAGCTGTCAGACGGTCATAGGTCCAGCCTAATTACTTGAAAATCACGATTTTAGAGTGCAACTGCAATAAAATACGAGAAAAAAGGTTTTAACCACAATTTATTCCCCCCTGGTGTATCTCACGGTCAAAGTCTTGTTGCATGATATTTCTCACACCATGCTTAATCCAGCCCAGTCTACACACTTTTATTTTCAATTCCACTGAGACGACTTTGTGTGCGTTTAATTTTATTTTTCAGATTTGTTTACTGCTTTTCATATAAGCCTGTTGTACCCGTTGTTAATACCATATTCTCTGTTGTGCGTAATGCATGATTGTATAGGGCTCGAGGGGAACTCGAAATGAATGAGTTCCTATTCTTCCTTACCGGTGGAGTCGGTTTGGAAAACAAATTGGTCAACCCAGCTACCAGTTGGCTTTCGGATAAAAGTTGGGATGAAATTTGTCGTCTGAGTTCACTAAAAAGTTTTGACGGATTCCGTGAACACTTCACAACTCATTTGCCCGAATGGAAACGATATTATGATAGCAAAGATCCCCAAGAGACCCCACTACCAGCCCCGTGGGACAAGGTTGACGTTTTCCGAGCACTGATCGTGCTTCGCTGTATCCGGCCTGATAAGGTAAGTGTTGATGTTTGAACGTATTTTCCGTTGAAACATTTATCCTATTAATTTTTTCACTTATTCGATACTGTGAATTTGTATGTACACTGTCAGCTGATCACCGGAAACTATGACTTCATGTCAATGCAAAGCATGGATTCGATCAAGTGGATCTCACGTGAATCCCCTAAACGCTAAGTACAATCGCAAGTATTTATTCTAGGACTTGGACTGATAAAGGTTTCATAAGGGAGGTTCTATGGAAGACAGAGAATATCGGGGGGGGGNGGGAGGGGGAAGGCGGGAGGGCAGTGGTTTCACCGATTGCATTTACATTTACATGCAGGATATCTACTTTAAGACAAATTTCCGACGCATATCATCATCTACTCCATATGAACAGTGAATAACTGTGTTGAATACATCACATTTTAGGTAGCACCATTTTGTGTGCGAAATTGAAATCACTCAGCCTCCCTTGGCCCTCCGCCACCCCTCCCTCTCTCATCTCAAATCAGACAGACCAAATCTGGGAGCTTAGACGGACAACAAAAATATCCTCATTCAGTTATGTTGAAAGTTGAGATAGCTTGTTTGTATTATCTCATGAATACGTTCCACGAATTCAAACAGACTTCTTGGATAACAGTTCTAGCCTTTTTCGAATTTCTTGGCTGACACAAACCACATACGAAAGGGTTCAGTTGGATAAGTGGTTTTGTGGACAAGTGAAAAAAGCCGTCACTTTCGAAAAAAGAAAAAGCCTCAACCATTCCTGTAATTCTGTAGAGAAAGTAATGCCACAATTCGGCCAAATCAAATACGGCGCAGCCCGGCAAAGCTTTCTCGAAACAGATAGTATTTTGCCACAGATAATCTGCGCGGTTTTGGAATCCACAGGAAAAGTGTATGATGATCAAAACGAATTACTTTTAGTTTGATATTCAGCCCATCTTTCGTCAAACTGGACAGTGGAACCATGTTGACCAAAGTGAAAGAGGATTTTATGACATGCGGAATTTTCAGCAAATAAAAAGCCTTCTTATTTGTACCATATACAGTGCCATTGCTTCATCGTTTCACATCACAAGAGAGCCACAAGAGGATCAGTTGTGAAGTGGTGCGCCAAAGTGGGAAATTCAGAATGGAAAATGATCAAGCGATGATGACACTGGGCCAACGCTTGACTCGTCTAAGATAAACGCACTATTTTTCGAATCGGGTTCGGTAAACAGATAAACCTAATAAAACTTTGGACTTGTCTTAATAACGGACAACAATATCCCCTAATGTAGCCCCATGCAAAACGTTTCCTGGTTTTTTCCCAACTGGCTGTTGAATGACCTCGCTAACCATCTCGGAGATAGAATTCCGAAAGAAAGAACAAATATGATAAAAATGCATATTTATTTTATAAAAGTTGTTGAATATCAATCAATCGTTTCATAGTTACAAGGTGTTAGTATGGACTGGTGTTGTGCACGGTCAGATTGTCGGGCCGTATTTTTCAACGGAAACGTAACAGATAAGAACAATTGTGCTTAGTAAATTATTTAAGGTACCTCATACTTGCAAATTCGGTACCTGCTATCCGGCGTTGGTACTACAGTTTGGTTCCAACATGACGGTGCACCGTCACACAATGCTCTGGTGGTGGGAAGTTTCCTCAACTCGGAATTTAACTGCAGATGGATTGGCCGAGGAGGACCAAAGGAATGGCCTCCAAGGTCACCTGATCTGTCCCCCTTGGATTTCTTTCTGTGGGGATATCCAAAGCGAACAGACGATCGACGAGCCAACACAGAGGATCACCGTGCAGAACGAAAGTATTCCAAGTGCTACCATTCTGAAGGTGGAAGAACACTATCTTCGCCGTATTTGGCCATGCAAGCAGCAGAATGGAAAACAAATGGAACAGCTTTTACAAAATAAATATGCATTTTTCCGTATTTTTTCTTTCTTTCCGAATTCTATCTCCGACGTAGTTAGGAAGATCGTTCAACTCGAAAACGCCACTTAGTAGAACTCCAAGAGGAGTTTTGCGTTGGCCTATATTTGGGAATATTGTGGTCCGTATACAAGAAAAGTTTTATTATTATGAATATCCGTTTACCGAAAGGGCTTAGAACATAGTACGTGTATCTTAGACGAGTCAAACGTTTACCCCTGTCGTCATCGCTTAAACTTTTTTCGTTCCGAATTTTCCACATGGTGCACCGCTCCACCACTGATTCGCTTGTGCTGATTCTCTACCAAAACTTAGGTAGCATCGGGTTCGGAACCTAACCTCCTCGTGTGCCGGCCCAAAAATCACACAACCGATCAGGTTCACTTATCGATCGATCGAATGATCCAGCCGCAACAAGGGACCTGGNTGTCTACAACCGCGAATCCTTAGCAGACCCAGTGGACTTCGACTGTGCAGCAGGCGTGTCATCAGCACACGAATGGACTGATCGTGACAACAAGAGGATCACAAAACGTACAAACCGGCAATCGAACAGTCTCGTGTTGGGGTGAGGGATTTTGAGCGCTGGAGATCGCGGAATATGATCCAATCAGATCACAGAAAGAGTGAGGGGGAATTTACTTGTTTAAGGTCACGAGTGAGAGGGAAGAGACGATGGTAAACGTTGGAGCAATTTCACTGGAAACTGTCGAAAGTTTTGAACGGTTTCATCCCGAATTTACTAAAGCCGTGGTTGCACACCGACTAATTGGGGAAATACGCCGGATAAGCCTCCGTGATGTGTGATGCTCGTCGGGAAGTTAAGGGTTGGAAGAAACAGAAAGGGTGCCTGACTGCGACCTGGCGTGATAAACTTGAATTGTGACAGACTTTCCAATTGGGTGCTTAAATAGCAATTCGATTAATGGTTTGAAATATTCAATGATATGGCTCGATGTCGGTGTCGGCCCCAATAAATCCAATTCTGCTCGGCTGAAAACTTTTTTATGCATATTTATTGTAGTACCACGTGATTCTTCATTTCACTTTACTCATTACGCTCTTCATGTTCAAACTAGCAGCAGCCAAAGTCGGGCGCGGAATTATAGGTTTATCAGTTGATCAAACTTAATTATTCCGGTAAAATAGAGATGTCAGGGAGTCGACCGTGTGTTTTTGATGTTCACGTGTAGATGTTTGTATCTTTCCACGATCAAGAGGCAGCGTTCAGNNNTTCTGGACCTCGATGTTCTCTCGGTGATTACATGCTTATCTCAAATTGAGGCCTAAGCTCCGTTTACTCTCAAGCCACTATGGATCTAGAATATTTGTACCGAATGTATGACATGACCGAGGCGATGGCCACGCGCTTCCATAACCATGAATTTTCATGTCAAGATAAGTCGACTTACGCATTTGTCTTTCTGTGACTAAAGATCAACTGCGGTACTCACTCACAAACCAATCCATGATTTAAGCTCACAACCTTCGATCAAACAGTATTACTAGCTCCTTAACTCCTCATCGCCGTCCCACCAATCTGACTGCTTAATTCTTTAGCCCTTTGTGATCCGTTCAATCGCTCGTTTTACTGCTGCATAATTGAATACATAGGATCATGGTGACGCATAAATGACTAAAACATTTCACCATATAGGCAAACAATGAATTTAATTCATCTCCGACAAAACCGTTTTTGGTTTTGTGAGATTAACCGGTAGAGAATCAATTGTTATCGGACAAGCTTAGGATAAGCTGCAGTATCGCGATCTGCAGAGAACCAGGAGAACGGAAATGTGGTTCGTTCGGTTGTGCATATGTTTGAGTGCGTAGGTGTTGCAGATATCTCGGACAACCATGCGCTCGTCTTCGAATGACCACATCAATTTCGGTGGTTTATCATGGCTATAAAAGCGATTGTTTTTGTGGTTGTAGGTCTCAATCTCCCCAGACACAGCACCCCTCCCGCGCCGGTTTCTTTGATGCAGTTGAAATAAAATACCAAACCGACTTTGCTCTCGAAAAACCGATTGTTTCTGGAAATTTGCCAGAAAAAACTGCTGAACTTTTGTCTTATTTGAAAGTGAAATATAACAAGAAAAATACGGACGCTGGGCGGAGTTTCACATTTAAGGAACACAGTGTTCCTATACTTGCTGAAAACCAAAATATTAAATTCAAAGATGCAGAAACAAGTCAGAAGGCACAAATTGAAACGCATCCGGTATGTGCACCAGGCGGTCTGCATACGCTTCCTACGCTCAGTTTGTAAACGTGAGACTCATTCATGTGAACAACTTTACTGGTGCACCTCCTAGTTTTATTATAAACGAGAAATCGATGTATTTTCAAAAGAAAAGTAATTTCAGCCAAATGGTTCACTTATTGAGTGGTTTTATGAGAACTAATGCCAGTTATACGTTTTATTTTGAATGGCTGAATTCGTCGAAAAGTAGTTTTCTACCCCGTTAACTAATCCGTCATCATCGATAGTCAAGTTTTTCAAACCAATCAAATTGTCTGGGTTTGCTAAGGAGCACACTCCAAGTCCCTGTGCTCCGATCATGGTGAGACGCTCACTCGTGTCTTTTGTTGTAGAAATCAAACAATGAAGAAAACGAAATAGAGATTAGGCACCACTTACATTGGGCTGGTATATCGCATGCGGTTTACGGTTTGTACAACCGAATGCGTGTGCATATAAAAAGAACGGGATTCTGTTTAGGACAATGGATGAATACTAACGGATTCCAAGG